CAGAGAGCAAATAGCCAGCATGCCACTCAGTTTGTTCAAAAGACAAGATAGGTTCTTCTGCAGCTTTTCAAAGTCTGGAGTTTACACAGTGAGGACAGGCAATGCAAATGCAGTGCAGGAAAGGAGCGATGAAAGAAGAAGAGAAAGCATAGACGAGGAAACAAGCTGGGAGATCAGAAAGCATAGCATCTGGAAACAACTTTGGAAGCTAAATATCTGGAGGTGCTTGCAGAAATTAAGCTTCACTTAATTTGGCTTTAAGTCATAATTGATATCAAATAACAAATAAATCAGTTATATGCAGCAAGAAAGCACAGAACTTGAAGCATCTCATCTCCAAGAAAGGAAGAGGGGGGGAAGAAATAGTAAAGAAATAATACTCATCTGAAAGTGTTTCTCCTCAAAAATCTTTATTCACCGCTGGAAAAGAAAGCAATTCTCTTCGCACAAACCTTTCTGCCCTCTCTCTCCCTCCTCACTTCTTTGAATTTTTGGAAATGGAGAATACAACTGTGAGCTTTATGTAGAGGCTACAGGGTGCTGGTAAATGGCTAATATTTGGTCACTAGTGTGGTCCAAATACCAACGGTGAACTCAAAAACGTTGGTTTGGATGAATTAGTCATCATAAATTGGTAACTTGGGTTGAATAGAAAATCACTCTGGAAAAGTTGAAATCCATTTGAGAAAATCACTCTGTAGGCAGTTGACATAGACTAATGAACTTTTTGGAATTAAGTCAGTAATGTAGACAGTAGTGAGGACCAAAAAAATTGCAGAATTTTGTAGTTCCGAGAAAAAAGGAGATAGGCAAGAACAATTGGCTCCTCCAGTGCTGAAGATGGTGGCACAGATAGTAATACATAAAGTGCTTTCATTAGAACTAGATTTTCAATCTAAGAATCAAGAATGCAAATGTGAAGTTGATGTTGTTTGGATCAAAAGAGTTCACTTTTATGAGTTTAGACTATTGGAAGGACTTCATAGGTCACTAACAATTTTCATATACCACTTGTGAATTCTTGGCCTAGTGATATGGATATGAAATCTTTGCAGGGGTACAAAAGTGTTTGTGATATGCTATTCCGTTCCCTTGTGGCTTTAGGAAATACTCATACACAAGGAAGTGGATAGGTTTACAAGAAGATAAGATAACAAAAGGGAAATGTAACCCAAAGACAGGAGCATTTCCAGGGTAATAATTCCAATAAAAGAATTGAAGAAAGATGAAAAGGAATATCGGACTACACAAGAAATGATGGATAGAAAAGGCCTATCCCTCTAGCCTGACAGCAAGCTGAAAGTTTCATCCTAAAGAAATGACTCTCGGAAGCTATATCGAAGACACTACGATAATGTTTAATAGCCTACATGAACTCCACAGAGAAAAGCTAAATTATTTTGTAGAAATCGTAACAAGACAACCTCCAAATGAACCTTGGTGCAACATGCGCTTTCTTGTCATTCTTCAGGATTTCTAGAATCTGAGATTTACCTTTCTAATGACACTTTTTAGATCTCCAACTTATTTCACCAGAACACTACTTATTCAACATAAGATTTGTTGACTATCTCCCAAACTCGCAACAATCTCACAAATAAATTCCAGGTAACTCACCTATATTAATTTCAATTCCCTAACACAATATCGGAATCTAACAAGATGCATATTACTTTACTCCTCCTCCTATCACCATCCAAATATTCAATTTAAACCCTACAAGGCAACATCCTTACTACAAGAGTCAAACTTTAACTTGCAAAGGGATAAAACTCTGCACAGTTCCACAAGATACTTGCCAAGCTTGCTAGATTGGTCACCCTTTACCTTAAACCTTGTAGATTGGTCAAAAACAACCTCCAAACGAACCATTCTAAAATATGCATTTTTTGAATCAGGATATCCAGAACCTCAGTTTCAAATTTTATTAACATTTTTTCCTTTCCCAATTATTTCACTAGAGCACAACTTATCTACCAAAAGATCTATTGTCAATATTCAAAAATTATGACAAACTGACAGATAAATTTCAAGTTACTCAACTACATCAGATAGAATCCAACAAAATCTCAGAATCTAATCAGACATAATACATAGTTCATTGTGACACCATCTGAATACATAAACTCTAAAGTATGACGTTAGAAAGAGTCCTATATTTGCCAGCAATGGAACAAATATATGAATTCCACACTAAACTTAGCATGTTCTTGTTACTTTTTGCCATTAACCTCATAGAATGGTAAAAACCAACCCATAAACCTTGGTGCAATATGCTTTTTTGTAATTCTTGGGATTTCCAGAACCTAAGTTTCAGTTTCTAATTAAACTTTTTATCTTTTCTCCAAAAGCACCACTTATTAAAGTCATTGACTACATTCCGGATTTTTTACAAACCCAAATAGATTCCATGGCACCCACAGGAATGCTAGGAGTTAATTGCATACGTATCTTCTCTTTTCTGGAGATTAAAATCCAGCATTTTTTGTCCCTCACTACCCTAAGCATCACCCAATGCTTTCCATTAAGTTTATTTGTCTCTATTAACAATCTACAGCCATTTCTATATTAGAATCAAAATTTTCTAATATGATTTAGGATTATCTCTGTTGGGTTTCAATCTCTAATGATAAGTGGCATAGATCAAAAATATAACTGAGCTCATCGACTGATTGTGCAGTTTTTTTCACTCTTCAGTCTCAAATGTCTAAAATCACTTGACGTATTAGTCAAAGTCTTTAATGTAGGCAACAAGTAAATCATTCACTTAAGAATTTTGGCCAAATAGTGTACCATCTGTCTCTTTTTGGCTTACAAAAAAAAGAACCCATTCCCTATCTAATTCATAGGTTTATGAGTAGATAAAATAAGCCATATAGGGCCAACGACACGTTGTTAAACCATAAGAGGTCTTCAGTCATGCAATTACACTATTTGAGGCCAAAAAAGTTTAGTAAATAATTACTTGTAGCCTACTTTAAGCACTTTGACTGATATTTCTATTGATTTAATCATTTTCAAACTAAAGTATGAAATAAACTGCATAATCAATCAATGTGCTCCCCATCTATTTTTGAATTATGCCAATACCATATGACAATGAAACCCAGCGGAAAGAATAGAAAATGACGCTAGAAAATTTGAAATCTAACTGTGAGGTGGTTGTAGAGAGTTGATATAGACTAATGAACTTACTGGAACTAAGTGGGAAATGCCTGCAGCAATAAGGCTCCAAAAAAATTGCAGGATTTTAAATCCCAGAAAAAAAAATAGACATGCACAATTGGCTGCTCTAGCACTGAAGATGGTGCCATGGATGGTAATAACTAAAGGGCTTTCATTAGAACCAAATTTTCAATCTAACAATTAAGGAAGCAAATTTGTGATGGATGTTATTTGGGTCCAAAAAGTTCATTTTATGTGTTTAGACTACTGGAAGGACATCATAGATCAACTAATAGTTTTTGTATACCACTTTATGAATTCTTGGCATATTGACATGGATATGAAATCTCTTAAGGGGTACAAAAGTGCTTGTGAAATGCTATTATACCCCATTCCATCTTTGGCAATTAGTCATACCCCATCAAGCGGATAAATTACAAGAAGATAAGATAAGCTATAAAAGGGAAAATGGAATTGCACCTAAACTGATGGCTTTGCCTAAGACATGTAACCCAAAGACAAGAGCACAAGCAGAGTAATAATTCCATGAAAAATAGAAGAAAGCTGAAAAGGAAAATTAGACCAAAAGACAGGAAATGATGGATAGAAAGCTACATCCCTCCGGGGTCACAGGAAGCTGAAATTTCTTCCTAGGGAAATGACTTTAGAAGCTATATGAAAGAAAGTACGACAATGTCCAATAGTCTACATGAATTCCATAGAGAAATGTAAAAATATTTTGAAGCATCAACTATATTATGATACTGGTTGTCCCCCAAATTATCTTTTTAATGTAACTTCTTAAGGGATTATAAGTATCAAGCACACCTACTGGAGAGAATAGATAATCGTGCTAGTAATCTGAAAGTTTAGAAGGATGCTGTTACCAGTAATTTCATGCTATTTAACCGGTAGAGGAATAGTAATAAATCAACTACAGCAATTTAAAAGGGATCAGGAAATTTCTTTTTCATCTTTTACAATCATTTCAGCATAATCAGAATGTTTAGTGGATATCCATTTAAACAGGGGATTGTAAGTACGACAATGTCCACTAGTCTACATGAATTCCATAGAGAAATGTAAAAATATTTTGAAGCATCAATTATATTATGATACTGGTTGTCCCCCAAATTATCTTTTTAATGTAACTTCTTAAGGGATTACAAGTATGAAGGACACCTACTGGAGAGAATAGATAATCGTGCTAGTAATCTGAAAGTTTAGAAGGGTGCTGTTACCAGTAATAACTGTTTCATGCTATTTAAACCGTAGAGGAATATTAATAAATCAACTACAGCAATTTAAAGGGGATCAGGAAATTTCTTTTTCATCTTTTACAATCATTTCAGCATAATCAGAATGTTTAGTGGATATCCATTTAAACAGGGGAAAAAAACCTAACCCTGTAAGAAGAGTTCTAAAATCATGTACTTCAAGAAGTATATCTTTCTATTTTCAATTTCTAACATGTGAGGTGTTGATCACTGACAGTCGAATAAGCCAAGGAAAAGCTGGAGAAAAAAAGAAAAACACATGAAGCCCTACTCCTACCTTGAGCTTGAAGTAGACAAAGATCATGCATAAAGAATAATAGAATGAGAGTAGACTTTTTAACAACAATGCATACCCAGATGACTTCCCATGCAAAGCATCAAAGATCAAATTGCTAGCAGATGAAAAGAAACCAAAGTATAACAATCAAGAAACCAAGAATTCAAAAACAGAAAATTAAGAATCAAGTTTATCCAAATAAACCTCATGAAAGGAAAATTGGGAGAAAATGGAGAACTCAGCAATAAGGCTAGAATTTAAATAACCATCAAAAAGCAAACCTGGAGGGAAAAGAAACCATTCGCTTAAGATAGGCAGGACTTTCATTCGGGAGTTCCTCATTGATAAAAGAGGGAAGACAAAAACAAGTAGAGACACTGTTTACTGGTAAATAGTATCCTGCAAAACCAACAATGGGAAAAACCAATATGAAGATGAAATGATAGTGAAGTACGGGAATTGGACAAGAAAGTTGCAGTTTGGTAAGTTATTTTTGCCATAGGAGACAACTCGACCTCTTACATTTAAACAACATATTTTCTGACTCTTGTAACTTACAAAAGAGTACCTGTGCCTCAAACGGAAGGCTGATGGTATATAAAGAAACCAAAAGTGGATCATCCATATTCTCACGAGTGAAAAATCAAAGCCTAAATGAGGGAAAGCAACAATTTATTGCCATTCAACAACTAAAGAAACTATCAGCAATCAATTCTAAGTCTTTAGTAACTGAGACAAGTCCATTTTCTTTTCTCTTTTTTTTGAGAATTTCCATCTAAGTGAATACCATCATTCAATAGACAAATTACTACAGAACATGCCTGGGCAGCATAACTGAAACTAAGCTAGATGTCTTTCAGTAAGTATTTCTAGCATAACTAAGGACAGCTGGTGCAAAAACAAGCAAGAAAAGATAAATTGTATAATTCAACAGTGTAAACAGACCGCATGACAGAAAATCTAAAGTAAACTAAATCAAAGTGCTAAAAGTAAGCAATTCACTAATATTTTGCCCTGGATAATCTAGTTGCATGACTCAAAAACTCCATGTGGTTTACACATATACCTTCTATCCCTTTGTGGCTTACAAAAAAAGTACCCATAACCCATCGAATGAATAGGCATATGAGCAGATAAAATAAGCCATAAAGGACAGATGGAATAGTATTCAAACTACCAGGAGTTTGTGATTCAATCACCTATATTATCTAAGGGCAAAATATCTAGTCAATCATCTACTGGCTTCTTTTCATTTTTTTTTCTTTATCAGAGTAGGTACCATGCATGATATAAACATGTGAAAGTAACTGGTAATCAATTTTATGCTATGTAACTTCCATAAAAATAACTGGTATTCGATTCCATTTTGTCTTTATTTTTTGATTTTCAAAGTGCTTCAACATAAAACAAAGAATGTCTAGATCTCCCTTAAAATACAACAAAATAGAGAGGCAGACAGAAAAATTCTTAAGACCTTCAGTTTCTAACATGTAAAAACCAGCCTTAAAAAATTAAAGGAAACAACAATCGACACCATCAGAACTCAATTGGAAGCAAGAAGTATTCACTAATATTTTTGCCCTGCATAATCTAGTTGCATGACTCAAAAACTCCATGTGGTTTAAACATATACCTTCTATCCCTTTGCGGCTTACAAAAAAAAGTACCCATAACCCATCGAATGAATAGGCATACGAGCAGATAAAATAAGCCATAAAGGACAGATGGAATAGTATTCAAACTACCAGGAGTTTGTGATGCAATCACCTATCTAAGGGCAAAATATCTAGTCAATCATCTACTGGCTTCTTTTCATTTTTTTTTTCTTTATCAGAGTAGGTTTCAAGTCTGATATAAACATGTGCAAATAATGATAATCAATTTTACGCCATTTAACTTCTATAAAAATAACTGGTATTCGATTCCTTTTTGTCTTTACTTTTTTATTTTCAAAGCGCTTCAACATAAAACAAAGAATGTCTAGATCTCCCTTAAAATAGATCAAAATAGAGAGGCGGACAGAAAAATTAACCTTCAGTTTCTAACATGTAAAACCAGCCTCAAAAAATTAAAGGAAACAACAATCCACACCATCGGGACTCAACTGGAAGCAAGAATTGATAAATCTAGGTCTTCAGCCACTATATGAAAACCCATGCACAGGGACAAATTCACACATAATTTGGCTTTAAGTCATAATTGAGAGCAAATAACAGATAAATCGGTTATATGCAACAAGAAAGCAGGGAACTTGAAGAAGATAAATCAGTTATATGCAACAAGAAAGCACGGAACCGGAAGAACCTCATCCCCAAGAAGGGGGGAAAAACAAAGAAACAGCAAAGAAATAACACTCATCTGAAAGCGCTGCTCCTCAAAAATCTGTCTTCATCGCTGGAAAAGAAAGCAATTCTCTAAGCAAAAATCAAATTCGTCCCCCAATTTTCTGATTTCTCTGCCCTCTATCTCCCCCTCTCTCTGTTTTGAACTTTTGGAAAGTGAGAAGACAAGCGCGAGCCCTATATATAAGCTGCTGGGTGCCGCCAAACGGCTATTTTTGCTGGCTCATGTAGTCGTGTGGTCGGAATACCAACGGTAAACTCCAACGGAAGGATTAGTTACCATAAATTGGTAACGCAAGTTGGGCTACTTGTAATTAGCATATGACAGACGGGTTTGGTTTCAGATTTTATTTGTCTAACCGAGCTTGAGCACTCATTATGGGCCTCAGATTTTGTATTCTAAAAATAGAAGCAGCATATATTAACCCAAAAAAAAAAAAGCAACAAAATACAAAGAAGTGATCAATCTATTTTCTAAATTTTTTAATATTTCTTAACATAATACAAATAAAAACTCGGTAGATGTGACTTAGATACATAGTGGTTAAGGCGCACCCAATATGTGTGCTACTAATAAAAAGATATTAAAAATAATTAGTATTATTTTTATTGAAAAATAGTAATTTAAATAATTAAAGCGCTGCAGTAATTTAAAAAAAATGATAGTTTTTTCTTAGATGAGTGGTAGTTAATTCAGTAGATCTAGAATGGCTATAGGGAGATTAGTAATTGATATGATGTAATTATCTTTAAAAGTAAGGGTTGTGAGAGTTCGAAAATTTTTATGTCTTATTTAAAAATTAGAGCATGTTACATTTTTCCTTTTGTTATTGATTGATTTACATGTCCATTGCTCTTTTTAATAAACAAATGAATCGATACACTTTAAGAGGAATTGTACCCTTTACACCATTAAACATTAGTATTAGCTAGAATCTATTGTGGTATTAGAAAAAATACGTGGAAAAGACTTGTCCTAATGCATATAATACAAGAAGCAAAATGTTGCATCTTCCATTCTATTAGAAACCGAAAGAAACTACTAGTACTTGGTATTGTCGTCCATTAAAAAACCGAAACTGCTAGTACTTGCCTTCGTTTGGCATTAGAACCGAGAGTTATACAAACTACTAGTACGTGTCATTAGCCTTCCGTTTGAACCGAGAGGAAGAGTAAAAGAAACACAATCTTTCTTTCTTCCTTAACCTATTAAAACTGAAAGAAACAAGAAGAGAATTAGGCACTTTCTTCGTCCCTTCAACCGTAAACGTCAACCAAGGAAACAAGGAAACTCTAGCTCAGTTAGCTACGGATTCGAGAGGGAGAGAGAGCTGAACTTTCCAGTCCACAAATGTGAAGAAACCAGAGGTAGTTAACTACTTTTCTTCTTCAATTTCCTGCTACTTCTAGTCAGTAATGTTTTAGGTTGAGTTAGAACCAAGAAAAGAATCATCAGAGTTGGAAGTTTGTTTAAAGTTTCTGCATGTTGTCCAATAGAAAAGCTGCGATTTTGGTTCTGTTTTTTTTAAAGAATTTTGTTAGATTATGACTAGAATCCATGCTTTATGCTCTGTATATTCTTTATTTGGTGATGCATATAAGTTTTACGGTGAAAAACTTAACTCTTGTGGCTGGAAATCTTGTTTGGAGGACTGCATGGCTACTGGAAAATTTCCAACTTGCCCGATGATGAATTTTCTGTTTAAAACTGGAATTTGATGAGAAGTTTTTGCTGGATTTCAAAGCTACATAATCTTATTGCAATGTTTATGTGAATGCATGTCAAATTTGGTTGATATTTGATGCATTAAATGAAATGTTGGTGAAGATTTATGGCTGAAAACTTCAACTTTGAACCTGAGAATGATGTTATGTTTTCTTAAACTTAGATTTCATCTTATAACCTGAAATTTATGCATATATTGATCAAAAAACATCCCTACTCCTCTGTTTTACTCTATATATTGCGATTGTCCTGATTTGGGAGGAAATAACTAAATCTTAGAAAAGAAATGGGAGCTGGTCGAGCATGCGAAACTGTTTCGCAGATTTGGATTGATTGGATGAATTCGATTGTATTACTGAGTTTTTCTGAAAAATTTAGCTAAATATTAATCGAAAAACGATCTATAACAGAATGATAGTAAAATGTACCTTGAATTTGAGGAAGTTTAAACAAGAAAATAGCAAACTAAAGAAAGAAACTTGACCATCCATTGCTGGAAAACTGTTTTGAACCATTCTAAAATAAGTGCTTAAATTTTGAGTTTAACTTTGAATTCTAAAATGGAACTTTAACCAAAACTAACCAAAACCTCTTCAAACCATCTTATAACAGTTTTACTGGTGAAAATTCATCCAAAATATAGGATAGAATCAAGGAAGTTCATAGTAACACTAAGTTGCCAATCTCTAGAAAATTTATCAATTTTGAATTTGGATTTCTAAAATGACCCTTAGGACCTAAATTCCAACTTTTATATGAAAAGATAAGTTGTAACTACCATTTAATCATCTTAATTTACTATATTTTGATAAAATATAGAATTTTAAGATTTAAGAGGGTTAAGTTACCTAAACTTTAGAACAAGGAGTTACTAGAATAAGATAAGTACTAAGATTACCTCAAAACAAAAGAAATAAAATGTATACATTTAAACATCTTGGATCATACATATAAATAAATAATATATATATATATATATATATATATACACACTTTTAGGCAATTATATCATATTAAGTTGAATTTAGTTAAAAGAATCAAGTAAGTCTAAACAGCTAGAATAATCACTTAAACCATTAATTTCACCAAGTATTACACTTGAACATCACTTTAAAAAATTTAACAAATAATCTAATAAATTTACAAATATCTTAGGAGTCGAGGTGAATCAGAGAAGCGACCGAGCACCGATAAGTGAATTTCAACTACTTTGGGTGAGTATTTCTACATTTGTGTGTTTAAATTGCCTATGTGCTACTTAAACGATGGTTTTATGATTATGCTAGTAGTTTATTGGGAAGTGTTTTCAATTGTCCCCCGCCTTTATAAGTCAGGAGTGTATTTTATTGCACTCGATTTAGTTTGAGAATGAAAATTGATAATTGATCAAAGATTATTGTAAGTACGCATGACTGTAAGTCGTGTACGTACTTCATCGTACCAGTTTCGTACCAGCTGAACTGGACCTCAAAATCTTTTATTCAACAAACTATTCGATCCAGCAAAAGTGTTTGATAGAATAGGATGATAGTTTTGGGTAAGTGTTTCGATATGTTCAAATATCACCACGGAGTAGCAGATTACTGAACTGATATGACCATCTAAGTTAGGGAAGTATTTACTGTTTTGGAGATTATAAGGAGTTCGGTGAAGTGTGTTGTGTATTGAAATGGCTTTAATGCAAGCACCGTATCCTTTTGAAAGTGATTGTTCAATGAAGTGTTCTTTACTTTATTCAATGAAGTGTTCTTTTCTTGTTTAATTTTGATTACGTGTTAAGTGTTTGATGATTATTGCTTGCCTGAGAAACCTCACTGAGTTTTGCTCAATCCATTAGTTTGTTTTCCTTTCAAAAGAGGAAGACGGTGTGACGCCCCCACTTCTCCCAAAGGCGAACCCAAGGGTATCCGCGGGACGCCTGCCCAACTCTCGCCAGGACTCAAGACAATTCAAATCGAACTTAACGATACATACCAAATACTACAAGTCAAAATAAAGAAAAGTCGCTTCCTTAACTAAATATTCAAATCTTACATCATGTTCACAAAAGATATATCAAGTCCCAAAATACAACCACTAAAAGTCGACTACACATTTACAGCCCAAATTCCAATCAAAAGTATAATCTAGTCGGCTTTTCCAAAATCTCCCAATCCAACCTGTTAAGGAAAACAAACTAATGGGATGAGCCAATACTCAGTGAGGCCAAGAAACACACATGCAAACACATAATCCAAGTGGTCACAAATTACATAGTAAGTAAATCTATAAAGTTCGAATAATTCACATTTCGAATAGAAAAAAAAAATAAACAGAAACAATTCAAGGATACTGTAGCTCTCAGGAGCTAAATTCCACGTAATCGAGTCGAAGTCTTGATCACATCTCATGTTGACACTCCGTCAACCACATAAGTATCAAATCCGTAGATACACCACTTTTCTTCGAATCCCGTCACCGTTACACCCCCTTACCGGATCCGCTCATCAAAGTTTTTGATAATACTCGAGTATATCATAGCAATACTGCACGAGTAATGCCGAGCAAGATCTCTCCAATAGATCATGCTCTACGAATATCTCATGGTTGGCTAAGCTTATCGACCAAGCACATGCTGGCTCGATTCGCAAAGTTAACCAACGAGTTTGGGCGTCCCCCGAATACGAATACGAATACAAATACGAATACGAATATAAGTCGACGAGCAACGCTCAAATCGACGATTCCAAATAGGAATCACAAATACGGATCACATATACAAATCAAAACAAATACGAATCATATCCACATTACCATGTACAAGTCGGATATGAATTCACATAGCAAAATTCGAATATAATTTCATTTGAAAGAGCACGAGTGCGGTAAAGTACACCCTCGTCTCAAAATTTCAAATTTTCATAATGGATAAGAAACAGATAACCACTTAACATCAAGTTCATGCACTTAACACTCACTGTGATTCAAGTAGCGAGTTCAAATGATGGTTTAGGCGTCTCCCGTGAGATCCTCTGGAAGGTCCTCTTGAGCGCCTGAACATTTAACAGTGAATTATCATTCACACATCCCAATTATCAAGGAATAATTCGTTCACTAGTATTACTCTAGGGAATTCCGTGAAAATGAACCTCAATTACTCGTAAATCGAGGTTCGAGAGAGGTTTGATAACATTCAACAATATTTAAGTCTTTATTTAGGAAATTGGGGATAAAACGTTTAGATAATATCAAAAGAATAAAGAGTTCTTGAAAAACTCTATTTCCTTGAAAGTTGGAAAATTTCAGTTTTGTTATGAATTTTTGAAAAATCGTAACTCACTCGGCATAAGTCGAGAATTGGAAAACTTTATACCGTTGAAAACCTCTTAGAAAGTACTGCAAGTTCCTAGAAGACACTTTTCCATGAATCGAAGTGGAAAGTGCTCAAAAATGAGCTTAAAGTTGCTGTTCCAAATCACCCAGGATTGAGCCGGGGTTGGTTTTTCGCTAAATTTGGAAATTCGGCAGAATTCATACGTTGCAAACCAGTCTCTAAAATTTATAGCTCCATTAGAGGTTCAAGTAAGGTTTAGGGCAGAACAAACGGATCGAGAATCGGAGTTTCGAGCACCAAGATATGGTAGCTCAAAGTTGGGAAAAGTTCAAGACTGTTACAAAATTTCCAGATTTGGTTCCGACTTTGGCCCTTTTGTTAAGTGTCGAAACGGACCTGGATTGACACCAAATTTTGCAGTATACTACTCCTATATGAAGGGTAACTCTCTATAAAATTTCATGGAAAAATACCCTCGGAAAGGTGGTTAATCAATCAACCAAAGTTTGGAAAATCCTTAAAGCAATCTGTCCAAAGCTAAGGTTTTCAAAAACGAGGCAGTTGCCGTGTATTAATCATAACTCCCTCAATTTAACTCAGAATTGGAAATGGTTGATAGTGTTAGAAAATACATTCATAGGGCTACAACTTCACAGAAGAAATCGTTTTACGTTTCAGCCTGCAACTGGTTCAAAATCAAGCCTCAAGTTGCAGTATCATCAAATCATTTCGGCAGAACGGAGAAACAGGACAGCCGACTTCAGATGAATGGTGTGGCTCACACACATAAAACCAGAATGTGCACTATACACCGTTGGAAACATGGAAACGTCTAGTTTCAAATGCCGCTAACGGCACTTGATTTTGACGTCGGAGTACGGAGTTATGGACGAAATACAAACACTGGTCTGGATTACGGCGAAACCGTTTTCCAGATTACTAGTTTTTGAAATAAATTCGTTTGAGCAACCAAAACTCAATATTTTTCAACGAAATTTTGTACACAACTTCTACAACATGTAAACTACACAATCAAGCCATTAAATCCTCAATTTCTGCAATAAAATGACCGAACAGATCAGGGGCAAAACGGTCAAGTTTGGCCCTTGCTCTCTACGTGAGTTTCCTGCAGTTTTTCTTCAACGAAACACTAACTTAAACACTAATCCGTCATCATAAACTTCATCAAGCACAGAATCAGCAACAACCCAAGAGTGGGAATTCATAGAGCCCACTTTTTCCAACAATACAAGCTATTAGAGTGACGATTCTAGCTCAAATGCATAAATCAAACTCCATAAAACAAGTTTAAGAAGTTAGATGGCTACCTACTTTGATGGCTGTTCAAATCAGAAAATTTCGGACCCTATGAAGCCTGAAGACAGCCGTGAAACTCCTCCCTTTTCCAGCCTAAGTTGTTGTCCAAGTAAAAAACTAAATGAATGTGAAGTTTGGTGAGAATCTATGGAAGTTTTGGTAGTGATTTGGTGAATTTTGGAAGAGGAAATGTTGAAGTCTTTGGTTGTTTCCTCTGCAGCAGCTGGCCGACCATGAAGCTAGAAGGAAAGGAAATGCGGTTTCTGGTTTCCTTTGCGTACGAAAGACGCTTGACGTCGAATCTATTAAATACGTCAAATCAATTACAACTAGTGCCCTACGCGCGCGTTTTGTGTCCGATTTCTCTTACGTTTGTTGCACTAGTGCACTAAACCTCTCGGGCACTTACATTTGTATAAATATTATGCACCTTTAATTGTCCCAAAATAATGGTCCAAAGTCCCTCAATTAAGCGCGCACGTGAAAACACGTATTTCTAATTTAGGCGCAATAAAATTGAAACTTTTGAGAAATTCTTATAACGATCGTACCACTAGCTATTACTTGTGTGTTTAAACCTAAAATTGTCTATTTTAGGACCATTGTATGTGTCTTAAATTTTTAGCTTATTGTGCTCCCAATTGGCTAAAGTTTTTTTTTTTTTGACACGCTTTCACTTTTTCGCTAAATAGGCTTATAAGAAAAATATTTTTTTTTTTGAAACGAGTCATTTTAAAATTATAACGAAGCTATAAACTCATGTAATTAGGTCTAAATAGACTAGAAAATAATATTCGGAGTAGATGGGCAATTAAATATTTAAATAAGCTCGAAATGGAATCTAAAATAATAAATTTTACGAGTCCTCACATGAGTCGAGTTTTAACTCCTCAAATCTCAAGTTAACTTTTCTAAATCTACTATTGATCATTCTTACTTCTCCAAAATTAATATACTCTCGATTCAAATATAGTCTCGAAAAACGTATACTCGTTGTTCCGAACTAAACGAGTTTTCGAAAAGTAAATTTTCTAATAAAACGCTTTAAAAACATAAGAGAGGTATTTTTCCATATAAATGGATTTTAAGTAGTTGAATTAAATAATTCGGAGAAAATAAGCGAATAACTATTTAAATAAACCAGTAATATATGACGAAAATAAGAAAATTTTCGGGTCCTCACAACCTCCCCTCCTTAAAAGAATTTCGTCCTCGAAATTCACATCTAGAATAATATCATATTCCTTAAGAGTTATACTTATCAAATCGATCAACAACTTACACTTTCCAATCCATATCTCACAATTTCTATTCATCCAATTAGCAATGAACTTTAATTTCTCAATAGGCGTTTTGCTTTCAAGTTGTAGGACAAGTAATCACACTTTACTTATACCATTCATGAAACTGGGGTTTACACAAGAATAATTGGTTCCAGTGTCAATTAAAACTCCAGTTTAAAAGATTCAATCTTGTAGTTCAAAACTCGAATAGAGTAATATATTATCAGTAGAAGACTAAACTTACCAAAATTTTCGGACTTAATTTGTCCAAATCGAGTCAATCATAGCATGCGAGAAAAAAATCGAGGGTTTTAATGTATTTTGGATATGTATGTGGCAAAATGTAATTCAGAATTTCAAAACTAGAGTTAAAGATACAAACTTTTCTTTATGGCCCAAAACTAAATTTTCTTAATCAGAATTTTCAGATAATATTTTTTTTTTACCACAATCAACAATATGTTTAAGAATTCTTCAAATACGTTTAAGAAGATTAATCATGCAACTCAATGCGTGGATTCTAAAACACATCTATAATAAAATAACATATACAGTGAGGATATTTCAAAAATTCTCTCATAGTTTTAAGTTAAGAGCTGCATTTGAGTAGACGTATATTTTCAAAAACACTTTTAAGAAAAATAAATAAACATGCAAGTTCATATATGCATAAACTTCGATCCAATGCCTCTATCACCCTTCACTTCTAATCCAAAAGCTAACCCTAATGGTACATAAAGCTTTGTCATTTTTACTCTCCAATTCACAGCAAATATTCACTCTTATTCTTAAGGAAAGATCCGAGCCTAAACTTTGCTCGATTTCTGATTTTTACGCGGGTTCAAGATGCATATATAAGTTACAAATACATTTAAAATTTAAAGTATGATTCTTTAAATATATCAAAAGTCATAGTACAAGTTGAGAGATCACAAACAAGCCATGTATGTCAAAGATAGGTCATGGACAATTAAGCGCCACAAAAACAAAAGTACATGCAAGCAAATTACAAAAGACCTCATGGTATGCATTGCCCCTATTATCATAGGCAGGAACAAAAGGAGAAAATCATAAGCCTGGTTAGGGGAAAACCAGAAGGATCCATGATACCAAGCCACATTATTTGAATAATTATAATTCCAAATTCCATCCAAAACCTAAGCCACTATTTAAGTCCTTAGTCTAAAACTTCCAACAAATACGAGATTTCCTTACTAAATTCAAGATGAAATTCTTATACCGGCTAGGGTATTGAGTCGAACCAAAAGAAATGCAAAAGTGTCTCGTTTCAATCTCAACTACATTCCACTTCTCTCTGGTCAATATCGTCCCACATTTGATCAAAATATTCTCCATCTGATGTCTCACTTCTTTTACTACCCGAATTAGACGTCCGTTGACCTCTTACACTTGCTCTCACAAAACATTAATCCGTTCTTATTCCCCACAAATGGAGATCTCAAGTCCAATACAAAAATCCTCCGTGCTCTGACCTTTGCCATCAGAACTTATCTCAAAACCACTCATGATTTCTATTCACATCGTAATACAGGAGATTATATCCCTTCCTAAGTCGCAAGTATTCCCTCAGGAAAAGTATTTAGTACTCAAGTACAAGAATCCAAAACTAAGAGAATTTACAATTCAGGCCGTACGCTCCCAAGTGTAAATCAATATAGTTTAAGATTCCTACCTGACGTACATCTCTATTTACCTCAAGTAGCATGATAAAGGTTTTACGCTTACCACTTTCGTAGTTCACAACTTACGCACAAGAAGAGCACTTAGTCCTTTATACATATTCACATAATTGGGACCATATCACCACTTGGCCCAAGTTCACTCTTCCCATAGACCACGTGAAACTGCTCTGATTTTTATCCCTATAAGTGGTCACATAACTTTCAAACCAGTCCCACAGTCCGGCATCCTAAACTTCAAGCCTAGGATACACTACAAAGATCTGAAACCTAAGCTCTGATACCAACTGTGACGCCCCCACTTCTCCCAAGGGCGAACCCAAGGGTATCCGCGGGACGCCTGCCCAACTCTCGCCAGGACTCAAGACAATTCAAATCGAACTTAACGATACATACCAAATACTACAAGTCAAAATAAAGAAAAGTCGCTTCCTTAACTAAATATTCAAATCTTACATCATGTTCACAAAAGATATATCAAGTCCCAAAATACAACCACTAAAAGTCGACTACACATTTACAGCCCAAATTCCAATCAAAAGTATAATCTAGTCGGCTTTTCCAAAATCTCCCAATCCAACCTGTTAAGGAAAACAAACTAATGGGATGAGCCAATACTCAGTGAGGCCAAGAAACACACATGCAAACACATAATCCAAGTAGTCACAAATTACATAGTAAGTAAATCTATAAAGTTCGAATAATTCACATTTCGAATAGAAAAAAAAAATAAACAAAAACAATTCAAGGATACTGTAGCTCTCAGGAGCTAAATTCCACGTAGTCGAGTCGAAATCTTGATCACATCTCACGTTGACACTCCGTCAACCACATAAGTATCAAATCCGTAGATACACCACTTTTCTTCGAATCCCGTCACCGTTACACCCCCTTACCGGATCCGCTCATCAAAATTTTTGATAATACTCGAGTATATCATGGCAATACTGCACGAGTAATGCCGAGCAAGATCTCTCCAATAGATCATGCTCTACGAATATCTCATGGTTGGCTAAGCTTATCGACCAAGCCCATGCTGGCTCGATTCGCAAAGTTAACCAACGAGTTTGGGCGTCCCCCGAATACGAATACAAATACAAATACGAATACGAATATAAGTCGACGAGCAACGCTCAAATCGACGATTCCAAATAGGAATCACAAATACGGATCACATATACAAATCAAAACAAATACGAATCATATCCACATTATCATGTACAAGTCGGATATGAATTCACATAGCAAAATTCGAATATAATTTCATTTGAAAGAGCACGAGTGCGGTAAAGTACACCCTCGTCTCAAAATTTCAAATTTTCATAATGGATAAGAAACAGATAACCACTTAACATCAAGTTCATGCACTTGACACTCACTGTGATTCAAGTGGCGAGTTCAAATGATGGTTTAGGCATCTCCCGTGAGATCCTCTGGAAGGTCCTCTTGAGCGCCTGAACATTTAACAGTGAATTATCATTCACACACCCCAATTATCAAAGGAATAATTCGTTCACTAGTATTACTCTAGGGAATTCCGTGAAAATGAATCTCAATTACTCGTAAATCGAGGTTCGAGAGAGGTTTGATAACATTCAACAATATTTAAGTCTTTATTTAGGAAATTTGGGATAAAACGTTTAGATAATATCAAAAGAATAAAGAGTTCTTGAAAAACTCTATTTCCTTGAAAGTTGGAAAATTTCAGTTTTGTTATGAATCTTTGAAAAATCGTAACTCACTCGGCATAAGTCGAGAATTGGAAAACTTTATACCGTTGAAAACCTCTTAGAAAGTACTGCAAGTTCCTAGAAGACACTTTTCCATGAATCAAAGTGGAAAGTGCTCAAAAATGAGCTTAAAGTTGCTGTTCCAAATCACCCAGGATTGAGCCGGGGTTGGTTTTTCGCTAACTTTGGAAATTCGGCAGAATTCATACGTTGCAAACCAGTCTCTGAAATTTATAGCTCAATTAGAGGTTCAAGTAAGGTTTAGGGCAGAATAAACGGATCGAGAATCGGAGTTTCGAGCACCAAGATATGGTAGCTCAAAGTTGGGAAAAGTTCAAGACTGTTACAAAATTTCCAGATTTGGTTCCGACTTTGGCCCTTTTGTTAAGTGTTGAAACGGACCTGGATTGACACCAAATTTTGTAGTATACTACTCCTATATGAAGGGTAACTCTCTATAAAATTTCATGGAAAAATACCCTCGGAAAGGTGGTTAATCAATCAACCAAAGTTTGGAAAATCCTTAAAGCAATCTGTCCAAAGCTAAGGTTTTCAAAAACGAGGCAGTTGCCGTGTATTAATCATAACTCCCTCAAT